GTCTTTCCTGATTTATTGGTACCCATGCTTGTTTTACTATTATAAAATCCTCTCATGACTTATCTTTTACAACTTTTTCAATTGCATCTTTGCTGTTAAAATGGCTCCACCCCTTATGGCCTTGTTGCCTTTGGCACTTTCTTTCTTATGGGTTCTAGTGAACAAGTGATGGTAGTTTTGTTTAGTTAGCAACAACAGTAGTAAGAAAGCTCCCTCATGTTCTGTTAGTTAGGGTTAGAGTTATTTTGCTAGGCTTGTTTATTTAGGCCTCTTTTGTGGGTCTCGTTTATCTTTGTTACTTTGTCCTCTCATGTTTAAATGTTATTTGTCTTCTCTAAGAGAAAAAAAATTAATATGAGATTTATTAGAAGAAGACACGAACGTCAAACCACCCAATAGAACACACATAGAGAAAGAAAATAGAGGAATAGTCTCAATTTATAAGATTTTTTATATAAAATTATACATGTCAATGAAATTTATCAAATACAGTTTATAATCTTAATTTTTCTATTAACTTCTAAAAACACCTTTCATTATACATGGGATAACAAATTTTATAATAAAACAACTAGATTGTTTGTTTCTATTTTCTAATTACAAATACGTTGAAATAATAAAATTATATAGCTATTTTTCATTATTATAATTACTTATTTGTAACCCCCTATAAAATTTATTTCACATACAATTTTATTTCACACTTTCTATAAACTATTACTTTTTATAAAATTATTAAATTAATATTTATTCAAAATTTAACTTCAATTAATTTTTATTATTTGTTTGGATTAAAGAAGACGATAGGAAGGTGAGATTTAAAATTTTAATGACTTGAATTTTAGAAAAACTGAGAATTGTGGCTAAAAAGTTTTATAACATGTTTGTCCATTTTTTTAAAAAATAAATTCGTTAAAATCTTCTATTCATTTTTTTTATTCTCGTTAGACCAAAAAAGGATTAAGCATAAAATCTAGTTTGTTTAAAAAAATAAAATAAAAAGATATTATTAAAACAATTATTATTAATTAAAGCTTAATTTTTAAGATGTTTTATATTTTAAAACATCAAGTTATCATAAAAAATATCTTATAAAATGAAATGAAGTGAGTACAACATTAGATGTCACTGATATAACATCTAAAAAATTTAAATTAATACATTAAAATAAACTAGGAGTTAATTTAGATTAATATAGGGTTAAATTTTGAGAAATTTATTTTAAGTCATAGTTTTTAGACAAAGGAAGAAAATAAATGAAGTTAGGTGGAATTAAATTAAATTATTTAAGCTTAACTTATTATAAATATTCTAATATTATGAAATTTTATTTGAGCAAAAATATACTAGCTTAGTCTTTTTAATTTTAGAAGAAAAAATGTATTAGAATACAAAAAAATGAATGAAAATAAATGAAGAAGAGTCAAAATATAAATAAAAGGAGGCATGTGCTTGATTATTGAGATGTTTACTTCACCCCGTGATTAATATTTATAGGTAACGCTTCAAGCAGTGGCAAAGGAAAGGATCCAAAGGCTTGGAGTTAGATTGCACCTCATATAGCCTTGTTTATCTTTGTATAGTAGAACACACACACACACACACACACACACACACACACACACACACACATATATTTGCCAACTCAAGGACATGCAGTGTATTTATGCTTGTGATTTAAACTTGCGACTTTGAATTGTTGTTTGTCAAGCCTTTTTGTGAACCAAGCTTATGAGAATTTGTGTTCAGGCTAGTGATATTAGTGTGAATTAATTATTGTGTTGAGATATTATTAATTGGCTGTCTGGCCTTTGTATTAATCCGAGTCTAAGGGACATGTGACATGTCTAGCAATATTGTGATGGACATTTCTATGTAATTTTGATGATAATGATTATGATTAAATTGTGGTTTGAAATGCGCCATTTGACTTTCAAAAATTGCTTTATTGAATTGTTAAGTTGGGAGGGCAATTGTAATGTGAGTGCTTAAGTTATGTGAAAAAGACCAATTTATCCCTTTATTATAATGTAATCCTTACTGATTGGGTTATTTTTTGCTCCTGTTTGCTAATAACTCTAATATTATACATTTTTGGGCCTAATGGTTTTAGAATTGATTTTAGTTAGGATTCTATTTTCAAAGGGTATTTCTTTTGTCTTTATTTCCTAGTAACTATGGTTAAACACATTTTACCGTGGTAATGATTAATTAGGGACATTAACCTCAATTATTATAGTTGTAAGGCTTAATTAGTGGATTAATTATTATAGGCATTACAACTAACCCAAGATGACAACACCTATTTATAGTGCATCTTCATTAAGCATGTGTTTGAATAGCACATTAATCGATTTTTTCAAGGGATAAAATTGATTTTGCATGAAATTATCCAAACGGCAACTTTTTAAAAAAATTAACTTTTTTGCAAAGTTGAGAATCCGACCATATGCAGAAATGCTTACCAAAAATCTTGAAAAAAATTACAAAAAAAGGCCCAAGAAAAAATTACAAAAAAAACACATAATTTAATAAAAATAAAACCAAACTTTCTTCCCTTTTCTTTCTTTTCTTAATAAAATTCAAACTTTATATTCTCAAAAAATTAATGTTTGGTATTTAAAAATTAAATTATATAGTAATTTATGTAGTTAAAAAAATTAATTTTCATTAAATTATCCAAACATCTTCAGTTATGTTAAAATCAATTTTAAAAAAATAATATTCAAATAAATTATGTTATAACATAATAATTTATAATTAAAATTTACCATTTAATTAATTATTTTTATAATCTATTATACTCAACTAAAATCTAAACAGGCACTAAATAATAGGAGAATGATAAAAAAAAATTCTTTTAAAACATACAAATGACAATAAAGTTTCGTAAAATGTGATAATTCTTTTGAAAAACTTTAACAGTTGATAAGCTTTAAAGTAACAGGACATTTTCACCTTTCACTCCCCTCGATCTCTTGTATCTCACACTCGAAATCTGAAGTCTAAAATATGGGTACAGTAAAGCCACTCTTCCTCCTTCTTATTATACTTCTTGTCTCTCTACATTTTCTCTACCTTCTTCAATCACCTCTCTCTCTACTCTTTTTTTGTTCTGGCTGACTCTTATTTCAAAGGCTTTGAAGCCAACAATGATGACGGCTTTGCAACACAAGCAAGATGATCCATGAACATGTCATTTTTATTTATCTAGATTACACTATTGTACAAATAGTCATGTGAACATAGAAGGTTGCGTTTAAACTAAGGAAAAAAAAAAGGTACACTTGATACGTACTATTGTGAGGAATCACTTGGCATTTTCAACTCAGCGTATAAACATAGTTTCTAAACTTAACAGGTTGAAGAACTAACAGCCTCGTGAAGGGAATTGAACTTGGAAGAAGGTTTTGGCTTCTTGGAAGACGACAGGCAGATGAAAATGGTGGGGATCTTGGTTTCCTTGCTTGTCAGTATTGTACAACACTAATCTATTTTGTCACTGATATCATCGACTTCGAAACGTAAGTTGGCCAAAACAATAAAAAACCAGCGAGAGGTGGTCGAGGAAGACAGAAAAGATGTAGAGGAGAGAGAAGAAGTATAGCGAGGAGGAGAAAGATGGCTTTACCATAGCCATGTCTTAGACTTGAGATCCAGAGTGCAAGACACAAGAGACGGGGGAAGAGGATGAAGGGTAAAATATCTTTCTGCTTAAAACTTTATTGACATTCAAGTTTCAAAAGATTTAAGAATAATTATCACATTTTTTAAAATTTTATTATCGCTTTCATATTTTAAAGAGAATTTTTTAATATTTTTTTAAGGTTTATTTGGTTGGGGGGTTTCCCCCTCCAAAACCTTCCCCCTCCTTATTTGGTAAGGTGGATCTCCTCTCTCCTAAAACCTTTCCCTTAAATTGAGAAGATCCTTTCTCCCTGCCTTCCTTCCAACCAAAAATTCATTCAATTTTTTAATAAATCATCCGAATTTCCCTTCCATGTATTTTTAATAAATAATTCCATTCAATTTTTTTCTATCAAATATTTCATTCCTCAATATGCACCTTTGAGTGAGGTTCGAAAGTGACCCACAAGAACAGAGATGAACAAAATCCAGAAGGTAAAGAGGCGGCTTTTGAGAAGCAACGCAAACGGGCAATCCCACGAATAACCACCTAGAGTGAGAAAAGCGAGACACAAGAGTCGAGTTCATGAGGCCCCCATAGACGGAATATCGACCCCGGTCCTGTCGGCCACAATGGGAGTTTAGCCTTTGGCATCTTATGCTGGAAATTTTGGGATCTTCGGAGTAAGAGACTCTCTGCGGGCAAGTCCTTCAGACCGGACGAGATCAGGGACGCTGGAAGCTACTGGTAATCATACCATTCGTGCCAAAAAATTTGCCCGCGCCTTTAATTTGAACTTTTAGTCCTTGTACTGATGTTTTGTCTTTTACTGTGTAAACTCTGACTTGTATTAGTTAATTCGTTTTAACTCGAAATGATTATGAAGAAAGATTTTGCGATCATCTGCCCTTTTTTTTTTAACACAGGGTGATAACACTGACACCAATTCCGAATTTGTGCTGAATTGAAACTCGTACCAATGTGAAGTAAATAAATCAGTAAACAGCAAACTCCACTAGACTGAATATGCTAGTGCTTAACCTCGTCGTGAGAGATTAGTTAGGTGGCTTAATTTAAGAGAATAAAGGTCCAAACTTTACAACAAAATACATGGAACGCGCTTATGTGTTTTAATCAATATTAAACTCGCTAGTCTAGTTTGAAAAAGACTGTATATACTTGAAAGAATTTTCCATGGATCCCGACGCTGTTCACTCCATCATTTTGTAGGGACAGCGGGGTTGTTCATATTGGGGGACAAACTTGGCATCTTCTATCAGACACAGACGACGTAAAAAGGCCTGTAACCCACTGACAAAACCTCACGCGATGATTTTGAGTGCGATGCGCTGAGAGTACGGAGGAGTCCATGTGAAGCAATTAATAGTAAAGGAATTAAATAAAGCTTGATTAGCCAAGCCAAGCCAAAACAACCAAATTAAGCTGGCTCCTACTAGGCTACTACATACATAATATACCCGTTGTTTTACACAAGAGGACCTATTGCAATTTGCAAGTAAACAAATTTCTAGACCAGCAATTGAGTTGTTATTAACAAAATGCTAATGCTCATTGCTAAGTTCCCCCTACCCTTTGGGGCTGCGAGATTTGGGGGGCTATTATTTGGTGTGACGCGGGAGCAGGAAAGAACAGGAAGGGCACCTGATAAGACCGTTCACGTTGCAAGATGTACAGCTCCTGAATCCGCTCTTCTCCATGTAGACCTTGTGGCTTCCGTTACAATCGTCGCACACGACAAATCTCATGCCTCCGCAAAGATCACACGCGTTTGGATCCGACCTTGGCAGCTGTTCGATTAATCTCCTCAATTCGCCGCTCTCGTGTAGCTGCTTGACGTCTTCAGCGCCGCCAATGTATATTCCTCCGATGAACACTCTAGGCAGGGTCACGTTCTTACGGCCGAGGATCCCGTGAAGCTCGTCCAGGAAGCGATCGTCCATGGATACATCTCGTTCGTCGATCGAGACGCGGAAGCCGCGGAGGATTGATCGGACGGCTCTGCAGTCCTCGAAGGTCCTGCGCACCACGCGCAGGCTGGTAAAGTAGACGACGATGCGCTGGTCGGAGCCCGGCAAGGCGATGGAATTGGATAGCACGCTGCTGCGGCCAGTGCCCCACGCGCGGAGAACAGCGGTTGAGATCCGGACCCGGCGGAAGAGAGAGGGGGATCTCGGGGCAGCGAGTTCGGGTTCCGGTTGCTCCTGGCAGAGGCTTTGAATGTCTTTAAAGGAAGAGCAAGAGAAGCTGAGTGAACGGGTAGCGGATCGGGCGGTTGAAGGCGGCGGTGTGTTTCGGGACCTGCTTGGCGATCTCAACCATGGCGGCCACATGAGCGATGAGGGTCTGAAGAATTAGGGAAGAGTAGGCTTTGAGAGCAGTGAACGAGAAGGAGGGAGGGATGTTTCCTGTAATTACGTGAAAAACAGGTCAATTAAAGGAAGGGTCGTTCATTGATGACAACCCTAAATGTGCATGTGCCTTTCTTTCGCCCCCTCTCCTTTTAGCTTTTGGGTTTCAAAACGTTATCTTTTCAAAGACTTCTGCAAATTTATCATTTTATTTCGATTTTCGTACGAGCATGAAAGCTACCTTATTCGCACTGAGCTAAGACAGGATCTATCTTTTCATCTGGCTCATAGGAATGAAAAGCCTCTCATTTTTGGAGTCGTCTTCCCTTGATTCAAGAAAGCCTCTTCTGCCGCTTCATTCAAGTAGCAAAAAAATTAAACCATGATTGAATTTAATATTTTAAATTTATATTTTTTAAAATAAAAATATATAAAAAATTAATAAATATATTTATTAATTTGAGAGTCTAAATTTAATATAAATGATTTAAATTTAATATTAAAATTTTTAATAAATTTATTGTTCTATTCAAAATATATTTACACTATTCAAAATATATTTAAAAATTTAATTTAAATTTTTAATATTAAATTTATATTATGTATATTAAATTTAGACTTTTAAATTAATAAGTATATTTATTAAAAAGTTTTATGTTTTTTATTTTAAAAAATATATAAATTTAAAATAAAAATATTAAATATTAAATATGAATAGTTGATATTAAACTTAAATGATTTAAATTTATTTTTGCATTAAAGAAGAGGCAGAGGGGCTTCCTTGAATGGAGGGAAGCCGACTCCCTAATTTTTGCCCCATCAGCTAATAATTTTTGGACTACCTTCAGCTAAATGGATTTTTGTTATGCGAATGCCGCGTGAATCAGAAAAGCCGCTTTTTTAATTGAGCTTTTGATTAATAGCTCGGTCATCTGTTTTTTTCTTTTTGGTTGAAATAAATACAACAATTATTGGAAATGGCATTGTTTTACCAAGCGTTTTTTTTTTAATGCCTAAGAGAGCAATGTTTTATCAACCTAAAGGTTTTAACTTCTAATATTCCTTTCCTTTAATATTATAATATATTTTAAATTAAATTAAACATTTGAATAAGTTAATTAATTGTTTTTAAAATTATACATTCCTTTCATATTTATCTTTAATTAATATGATATTTTGATTAGAAATTTTTATTGATCACACTTTTAATTAAGAATATTTTTGTAGAAAAATATTATTAATTACACTTTAAAAGACTCAAAATATTTTTTATTTTTTAACATCTCATCTTAAAAAAAAATGCCTCGTATGTTTGCATGGGTAGAGTAATTAATTGTCTTCAAAATTATATTTCATTTTTTCCCTATTTAATAAGGTTTCTTAATTAGAAAAGCTTATTAATCATACCCCTAATTAAAGATATTTTTGGAAAAACTTCATTTAAATTTTAAAAAATTTAAAATGCTTTATAATTTTTAACATTTTATCTTAAAAAAATGTCTTATTTTTTAACAAGGGAGTATTAAACTTCTTATTATAAACTACAAAGAACTTTTTTAAGCCCCATAATTCATCCCATGTTTTACTGACAAATTACACTGACTCATATTTAAATCAAACCTTGACTGAGAATTTTTCCTGATATTATTTTTCATTTATAAGAATTGAATTTTAAATCTCACGAAAGCGTAAATTAAATATTGATGTTATGAAAAATTGAATTTGAGTGTATTTTTAATACATCAAGGTGCTTAAACGCATTTCTTGTTTACATTTTACCATATCGATATTGTCTGAGCTTAACTCAAACCTGTATGGCATCATTTCAATAATTTTGCAGTGCTTGAATAAAAGGGTAGTTAAATCTTTTACATTTAATAGAATTCATTCACATTTATTTAGCAATAGCCGGTTTGTTTGGGCACATTGAGCACGACTAATGAATCTTGCGAGAATTTTCCTTGTGTATTTTCTCTCCTTCCCCTTTCTGTTTTCTGCTCTATTTCAACTCCACTATGCAATCTTGCCAGGAGGGGATATACTCAATAAGCTTACAGAGCAATAATTTCTCTTCTGTCCTCTATAATAAAAAGCTCGTATTCTACATTCCTCGTCAACTGAAATTTGAGCCACTAAAGTTAATGAAGTCCAACAAAGTATCAATACTTCATGTTTATCTTTCTTTATATACACAAGACTAATTTCATACATACGCAAGGTATGTTAAATTTCACTAATGTCAGAAGCTCAAAACCTCAGAAAATCCGGATTAATCAATCTTCCTTGTCTTCTGTCTATGAAACATGAACTTTTGTTTTTTTGGTCGAACTCTAAGAAACATGAACTCATGTGGTCCGGTAGGGTTGTATCTTAACGCGAAACTTTCAGTTGTTAGGAGGAGCTCAAGTCACGAAGAATCACAACTAAATGGCATTGAACGCAGGACAGGTAAAATGAGGAACAAAATCTATGTTTTCATACAAGGTCAAGTCTGGTCTACAAAATTCATACTCGGACAAGACTACTTGTCAGAAAATCTCAGTATTGTAATTGTAAACGTGTTCTGCAACATCCGTTTCTTAATTTTGTATCCACAACAAATTAAAACTGGAGGTCTCAAAAATGGGATATCTTATCACAGCGACCCTGTTCATTATTCAGCGTCCACCTGCCTTGGGGCGCCAGAAACTCTTTCTACCCACAAGAAACTGATCTTGATGTATACTCACAGACCAGTGAAGTGAGCGCAAGATTGGGCTCAGCTTGCTAATTACTTCCAAGAAGTCTTGAACCACAAGATATCCTTCCGGTCTCAAAATACGGTCCATCTCCGCAACCACGTCTACAATGTCACATCTGCCAAAAATTGCATTTCATTAATCATATTATATCTTACACATACCTTGGCCATATATAGAAACGAACGGACCCAAGTCTCTGTTTGGTAGCAACAAAGGAAAATGATTATTTGAAAATTAATATATATATATATATATATTATATTCTTGGAACCATTACTTAATAACAACTACTTTTATTATTAATTGAACACTTTGTATTTAGAAATATACATGACATATCGCATTTAAAAATAACTTTCCGTTTAATACGTTCCCATTCCATTCTGCATACAAATCAAGCCCTAAAAATTCTAGGATAAAACGAGAAGAAAGAATGTGTCAAAGTCAATTATCGTACCTTTTCTCAAGATTTCTAAGGAGGAAGCTTGAGTGAAGAAGATCATATGTGCGAGGATAGGTATTGAAAGATTCGCACCAATCGTGGTACATTCCTATAAAACCCCTGTCAAATATGATAGAAAGAGTGTCTGGCAAATCAATGGGCATCACATTCATGACCCAGACTGGTCGATCAATGAGTGCTGCGGCAAATCTGAAGAGAAGAAGGACATGTAAAAAACTATGCTCAGTCATAACTTTATAGAGGAAGGGAACTATGTGTGTGTGAGAGAAGGGGGAGAGAGAGGGAGAGAGAGCCATGTTGAATACCATAGGCAATCTAATTAAACAATTAAATGGGAAGAAGGCGATGGGAAAAAAATACTCTCAAACACAATATACTTTACCCTCCATAACCAGCATTCATGTCCATTATATTTCGCACCCTAGCCCAATTGATAGAAAGATCATTCGCATAGACATCTGAGACTAGTTGAGACCAGTGTTCGGTGTCCTTGTTGAACATCTCAATAGCATCAATATTAGACGGTAAGCTAGGGGGTTTACTAGTAAGCCTCTCGGGCCAGGGCACAGGCCATCTCTGCAGTTTACCCATGTTGTCAACCGGAAGAGGTGAAAGACAACTGCTGAATCTGGTATACCTGTAACGTGAATACCAAACTTCTTTCTTAATGCTAACAAAGTAAAACTAACAAGAGTCGTATACTTAGCATTATTTGCAATATCTGCATGTCCAAATACAGCACGTTGGTTGATTCCGTTCTTGCATATCACACAGCAAAAAGAAAAACACAAACATTGGCAGAAAAGTTTCTCCGCTTCCTCCCTATCATCTGGATTTGGAAAAGAAACAAAAATATATATAAATACCATGAGCTATTTTTTGCATCCTTCTCTTGACACAGAGGTGGACTATTCACTTTGCGTTTTCCATAGCAATCAGGTGAAGTAGGCTTCTGGTATATAACCATCCCAATTCCAGATGAATCAAAAGTCCTAGCCACAACCGTCCAGCACATAGATTTTATTACAGTCATCGTGGCTGCAGAAAAGATGTCCAGCATCATCCATCTTAGAAGAATTTGAACGTTCTCCAATTTCTTTGGAAAAACATACCATCTCAGTGCTTGAAGGAAATAAAATAAAACAAGACTCCAATTTTCTAAAATATGCAAAACTGCCATGGAGGCAGAAATGCAGGTATCTCAAGTTAGGCCATTTTTAGCGTCTCATTGATTGGGCCCTTCACAGATGACTCATATGAAATGTCCAAAATCTTCCCGATACAGAGAGGACAGGAGAAACTGACAGCAAAGACATGTAAAGGGGAGAAAGAAAAAGGGTTGGGGGGGGGGGGAGGAAGAAACAAACCATTCCATACTTTCTGATCTCTTTCATCATCTCGATAAACTGGTGTCGCAGACCATGCAAAGAAGCCTCCAGGTCTAAGAATCCTATTGAGCTCAAATAATGGTTTACCACCTAAAATTGCAAGCCAGATTTAACAATAGAATTCCCGTTGCAAATAAAATAGATGGAACATAGACAGAAGACAACTAGTACCATCTGCATCCCAATGTACCCTGCATCGTGCACAGTGGATCAAATCATATCCGTTATTTGGAAATGTCAATTTTTGTGTTCCAATAACAGATAGAGTTGCAGGAATTCCTCGCTCTAGAGCAAACTGTATCTGAGCTTCATGTTCATCCTTTGGGGCAAACGACATGGTCATCACACCATTGTCGAGCAGATAGCCACCAAAGCTAGCAACACCACAACCAACATCTAAGACAACCCTGATATTCTTTCCCCATTGAATTTCTGGTAGTGTCTGGTGTGAAATGAACATAAAACAACCAACAGAAAAAGGTCATGATTCAAGAAGTACATCAATATCGAGTCAACTCAGCAGAATGAATGTGCAAGGTACAGTACATCATGTTTAAATCGAAATGAAGCATTGCTTAGATTCACAGTAAGGCACTTCCTCCG